GTCTAACTCTAAGTTCCTCTTCTCTTTGTAATATTCAGTTTTATTTACTAAATGCTTATTTTGAGCCAACATATTTTCAGACACCCATACCGATTCATATATATCTTTTCTTTCTTGAACTTCTTTTTTGATATTGGTATGTTCTTCTACATTTTGCTTTTTATCGGTAGTTATTTGCTACTTTGTCTCTATATTCATATTATTAAGGCTTATAGCTAGAGATATTAGTTTTGCTGTATCCTCCATACCATGATCTGATGTTCCACTTTCAGAAAATATTAATAAGAATTTGTAATCATATTTATAGCTCTGACATTGCATTAGCAATTCCTTATCACTCTCGTTGAAGTTTAATTCTGCATTTTTGATATACTTTGTTTCTTTCTTTTTTACAACTATGTTGCCTTGAGTATCTACATTATGTACTCTTTTTCTGAGTATTGAGACTGGAGATTTGTGTTTACATTCATCTCTGTGCATTGGCTCATAGTTTGATTGGAGATGGTTTCTATTGGCACTTCACCTATAAGTTGTGCTTCTACTTCTGATATTTCTTTTCCATTGCTTTTTTTTTTCTTGGACCCATTTATAGCTGTTTAATAGCCCTTGTATTATACCAATTTGTTCTGGATGAGGTGCACCCATAAAACTTGCTATATCTCTATCTATCTTGAAAGTTAATAACTTTTGTTCTTTGTAAACTTTCTCTATTTGTTTCTCAGAGTTGTTAAACAATTTCTTTAAGTCTGCTATTCTAGTCATTTTTGTCTTGACGTTTCTATGTTTTACTATACAACTAATTTGTGTTGGTTGTTTGTCTAATTGTTTGTTTACTCACAGATTTGTTTGTTTGTCTATACTAAAAAGGATACGCGTTACTGTTTGTTGTTTGTTGTTTTGGTGTAACGATTAGTAATCTGTTATCAGGGGTTTGCTAAATTCCCACTTTTTTGTATCAAAAGTTGTAAAAATTTTGTAAAGTTTCTAGTTGTCACAGAATTTAATAATTAAATATACTGTTTGCTTCTAAGATAGTTTCTTTGTTTTGTACAAAGGTTTCTTTTTTCCTAGAAGGTTATTAACTCGTTTTTGTAAAATTTAATGTTTTTTCTTAATTCTAAATTTGGAACAGAGGATCAGCGGAAAGAGTTTGACAGTGAAATTTATTGATTACTAATAATATCAAGTTTTACATTTATCTTTTTTTCTTTAGGAGTCAACAACATTTCAAACATTTTTAAAATGTTTGTTCTTTAGAACACGACACCTTACAAAAGAAATCATTATTAGATACATTAAATTATGTTTTTTATCTAAAAAATTAACATCTAAAAGCATCTCTGTCTTAAAAGCAGCTGTCAATTTAGCGTATCGAAGTTATAGAGATGCACTTTGAAGCAGTCTTGAGAACATTGCTGTGCACTTCATTGAAGATTTTAAGTAAGTAAAATGTATTTTTTTTTGGCACGTTAGATAAAAATTGTAACAATAAGGTCTCAATTCGTAGAATAGAAAGTCTTTCTCAGGTTCAGCAATCTGATATTCATGATTATCTTCAAGAAAATGTTTGGAAATCATTTCTTAGACGCTTTTTCGAAAAAATTGACGAAGAGGCAACATTTACTACAGAATTCAAAGAAGCGTGGCAGACATTTATGTCGGAATGTCTTATAAAAATGATTGAAGAGTTATTGGATAATGAAAAAAACTAGTTAAAATCACTGATCTAGACCATCTTACTCTAGATTATGATATCTATGATGCAGGAAATACATTAAACCTTAATGATGAAGATTTTAAAACACTTCTGAAAAAGAGTTGGGCAACGAAAAAAAAAAAAAAAAAATGGGAATTGAGCAAAATTATTGCAATTTAATTGAAGATGCCATTTCACTAGTACTATAGTGTGGGAATGTTCGCAAGTTCTTAACATAAATAATTATTAGCCTAACCGATAATTAATACTAGAATAATAATTTACAATATTTAATTTGTATGCAGTCTGTATTAGCAATAAAATATATTAAATCGACAAAGTGAATCATCCGAGCAGTTGTAAAATTTTTATAATATTTGGATAATGATTTTTCTATAGGTACAATCTCTAAGTCTTATATTCTAAAAAGACATTACTCTCAATAAATTATATGTGAAAGCTAAACCATTGCGTCGAAGATAAACATGAGGTATTATCTAAAGAACGGCTATAAAAAACATCTAGTGTAATTTAAGATGACATAAGACATACAAAATTATAATTTAATAGACAATACGATCATACTAACATAACCGATTACACTCATGCTCTTCAAATTCTTTTGTTGAACTTGGAGGTAAAAAGGTTGCTAGATACTATTAACTCTGTTTTAAATATCAATTCGCTACAAATATATTATTAGTTAGTATAATGAATGCTGTCAAGGATCAACAAATTGAAAAAAATAGACACTGATAGTTACAACTTTTTCCTAATAGGATTTGATAAAATAAGAAGCTGGTAAAGCAATTACTTTTCTCAACACCGTCTAAATTTATATACAACTGTTAATTTCTTAAACTTAGCACTTCTCATTCTATATAATTAGATATTATTAGTCAAAATATGCTATTCAACTTCGACATTGTCATATGAGTCATATGATAATGTCGAAGTTGAATAGCATATTGATTTTTTTTTTTAATTTTGACCACTGCTTACCCATATTCAGTGTTGGCAATTTTACCGGCCAAACATATTTTTGGCTGGCCAAAAAATGGCCAATCATATGTTTTTTGGCCGAATTGGCCAATTTTTTGGCTAAAAAGGCCAACAAATTTGGTTTGGCCGGTAAAATTGCCAACTCTGCCCATATTCTTCAATTTTGTAGGACTTATTAATCTATATACTACACAATTTAGATTCATAAATTCTTTTATAATATATTTTATAAAAATTGACTACTATTTTGTGAGGTACAAAATTCTATTATTCTTTCTTTGGCAAATTATACACCGTGGTTACATTCCTGAGATTAACGTTATAATTTTCTAATACAATAGTTGTTACTACCACAATCTTATTAATAACATATTATCGATGCTAACTCGATTAAGCTGGATATAATCTACTTGATTTACATTAGAAAAACTTCTGATTGGACGTTTTACTTTGAACGACATTATACTATATATGATTTTCGATAAATTAATTATTACTTCATCGGTAAGAGTTATTGATAGTTCAATACAATGTAATTGGTAGTATATAGATTAACGTCATTACAAATATGTAATCATTTACCTAATTATTACTTCATCAGTAAGAATTATTGATTTTAATAGGTAGTATTATTTATCGGTAATTAAATCATTCTTTATTTGAAAAAAAAGGAACAAACTTACATACTTTTAGAGAAGTTTTTACAAGATTGCATTGATCTTTTTAATGATAGTTTACACCTGTACCTTAAAGACAAAGATTACTATTCATCCAGGCAGAGTAAGATGACCTTGACTGAATATCCAAAATGCTTTAATTGATAACAGTTCTAAAAACAGTAATGATGGCTTTGAAGGTACTTTAATCAACGATGAAAAATTTGAAGATATTTCAGCCAACAACTATCTATATCTTTGAAGACAATAATTATAATACTAAAGATAGTAACCTTGAAGACAATAATGATAATATTGAAAAAAGCGCTGATGATCTTGAAGATAGCGATGAGAATCTTGAAGACGGACTTGAAGATAGCAACATGAATTTTGAAAACAGCAATGAGGATCTTGAAGACAGCAATGTTCTTGAAGACAATAGTGAACTTGAAAACAGCGATTATCTTGAAAACAGTAGTGAATTTGAAGACAGCAAGACAGTGGTGAACTTGAAGATAGCGATGATCTTGAAGACAGTGGTGAACTTGATGATCTTGATGATTTAATCACTAATGATAATCCTCCTTATCAAAAAAGAGTAGATAGACCTACAAATTTCGAACCATATAACAGGGAATATGGTCCATATTTTGCTAATTACACTAAGCAAATGTTTTTTTTATGGATTATCAAACACATGATATGTAAGTAATTTATAATAAGCATCTTTATTTTATATACATACTCTAAAAAATGGATTCTGAATTTTTTTTTAAGCCACAAAAGCATATGAAGACTTAACAGTAATTATTAAATATCCACTGTTCTAATCTCATCACATACCAAAAAATATAAGGCGTCTTAGATCTCAACAAACTAGAATGCCTCTACTGAATATAAAAAGCCATTCTATCCCTATTGATAATCGAAAGACACCTTCCACATCAAAGTCAACTAAACTTGCCTATACTATTTCAATAAAAGAATACCTTAAGCATATTTTGAACAATCTACGGCTGATGACCAAAATATATTTTGGTCGTGGTATCAAAGTCCAAAAAAGATCAGAGATGTGGCATAGTGATATCTGGCAATGGTCTCCTTTATATAATAATACAACTATTATTATAAAGAATGGTAAGACGCACCTATTTATTGTCTAATTTTTTTTTTGTATAACTCTAATTTGCTTTTAGTTGAATACACTGTAGAGCAATTCGTAGAGTTTATATATACTAATAAAAGTAATCAACGTGAGAGACGTTTTGGAAGAATAGAAGCTATTATTTTACTCTTATTACTATCTAACATTAATTATTCAAATAATCAAATGCAAGATACTCTAAAGATGTCAAGGCTTTTAAGCTATGATGAATTAGGGATTTATTGCAGCAAAGATAGAAGTTATCAAGGACACAAAGAACTTTAGATGATTGAAGAGAATTATCAAATTGTTTCACCTAGTCATATTCTAAAACATGTTTCTATATAGCTTAAAGATATTCTCCAACCTGCATCTTATGATTTTTATGTATCTGAAATTTTATACCAAGATATCAATATTAGACGAATCCAAATACGACCAATAAATTTGCATCACCATCATCCTTCTGAATATATTACTATTTTAGACCCACTTTTGCATAACATGAAAATATTTAAATTTATGATTGATATTTATAACGACGATTTTGGCACTTTTTGCAATTCTTACCACTCATTGGGTGGCATTTATATGCAAATAGGCAATATGCCATTTAACTTAAAAAAACAATTGAAGAATCATTTTATCATCGGTTTTATACCATTTGGAGGTCATTTTGATGATATGATGTGCCCTTTACTTCAAGAACTTCGTCAATTGGAAAAAGGCATTACAATGAAGATAGATAATGAGTTGGTTTGGGTCATTGCTTCTGTTGGACTAGTAACAACAAATTTACTGCAGGGCAATGACCTTAGTAATGTTAAAAAACAAGGAGCTCTTTATAGGTGCCAAAACTGTTATGTTCCAAAAGATTGATTGACCGATGTTACCTTTAATAGAATACGTTTTGCGCGTTTTCACCATATTACTAAAGAGCATTTTATTGAATTGCAAGCACTAAAAAATGATGGCGTAACCCAAATAGAGATTAAAGATTTTACAAAATACTATGGGCTTCGTTCAAAACCAGGCATTTTATCAACTTTATCATGAGACTGCCATTTGCAAATGCCTCAAGATTCTTACCATGCAGTTGCCGGTAAAATCCAAAGATTATTAGAATGTATACTCAATTTGTTAAACAAAAAAGAAAGAACCCAATTTTTAAAACATTGGAAATGTTTTGAAAAGCCATATACTTGGAATCGCCTACCTAATCCTATTACTCATCTTAAGAGTTTTATATTTTCAGATACGTTGCAACTTGCCATGTTAATGCCTTTCATTTTGAGATGTTTCTTAAATCCAGATAATATTATTTCAACTAGCTTTACTGTCTTATGTAACCACTTGTCATCTTCTAATAGCCGAAGATGATCTACAAAACAAGTCATTATAACATGTTGGGTAATTGTAGCAGATGCTGTGTCGCATTGTTTTAAATTAAAGGTAACTCAAGATGACTTGAATTATCTTCAAAACATACTTATAGAAGAACGTTGTATTTTAATAGAGGTAATATATTTGTTTAATGCAAGGCATATATGTTAACAATAAATAATTAAAAAGACTCTAACACGTTTTTATAATAGCTATTTTCTAAAGACTTTAAAGATTTACCAAATCTTCATATTAATTTTCATTTAAGTCAAAACTGTAAAAATTATGGAACATTGGTTAATTCAAATTGTGCAGTAAAGGAAATGGTTCACAAACTTTCCAAACAAGCTGTTCTCAAAACCAACCGAAAAAATATTGAATTGGATTTGATGCAATGCACAAATATTTTGCAAGCTATTCAATATTTAATTGATAGCGGAGCTGATAATCAATTCAATAAAAGTAATGTTAGAGACGGCTTAAGAAGCATTGTTATGGATCGATATTTTCAACCACTTCTCACAGGATGGTACAAATAATTTCCGAAAATGGTAAATTAATTTCTTATTTTAATTAATAATACATACGTACCGGGTTCTAGATTTTTTTAAAATGACCTCATATAAAATAATTGTGATCTCTATATAAGATTACTTTAAAAAAAAAGAATTTAAGTATAAGAACTTTTGATACAATGATAACAATGCTGTAATAATAACTCTTTATGTCTAGATATGAACATAGTTTCAGAAGATGCACAAATTATTAATATTCGAGTTCGGCAACAATTAAATCTTGCTGAAATTCAGTCATTACAATTATCAAACTACCTTGATAATAACACTACCTTAAAGAATAATCTTTTTTTTGTATATGCTGAATACTTGAAACAGCGCCAGTACATCAAAACACGTTTTATCAAACTTTATCGATATATCTGATATACACTTTTAGACGACAATGGAGAATTCTATGCACACATCAAGCTTCATATTGGTGATGCCGTGATTATAAAAGAAGATGATGATGAATCATATGCAATTATTAGAGCAATTTTCACACATAAGTATAATGATGGGCTTATCTATGCTTTTATTTGGATTGATTGGCTAAAAAACACTAAGCATAATGATGCGCTTTTAAAATGCCCAATATTTGAAAAACAAACTGAGTCAGATATAAGATGGTATCGCATTTATCCAATTTCTATTCTTAATGTTGTTCCTAAGATACATTTTATACATGCATGTCGCTCTTCTTGTTTAGCAGACTCTCATAACAACTTCAATATTCAATATTTAATGAACAATTTTTTTTATAAAGTAGTTTAAAGACTTATTATAAGAGTTTTTACATAACGGGGTTATGTTATAAATAGATAGAGCAGAAATAATTAATTATATTGTTGTTTGCTATTTAATTTCAACTATTAATAACTTATAATGTTACAGTATCTATTGTTCGTATATAATCAACAAATTTGTTAGACTTTGATTTTTTAGAATGTTGTAAGGGTATGAATTTATTTAAATGTAGTTTCTATTGCAAAATTCTTTATACCAGTAGTGTATAAATAACCAAATAGAATCTAAATTTATAAAGCCTTCAAATAGATTAATTACCTTTTTATTTTAATTTACACGATCATAAAAACACCAATTTGAATTATTATTAGATCCTTAACAATTATAAGTCATCACACTTTGGTGGCTAACTACAGTATAACAAGACCAAAAATGTAGATTGGTAGCTTCGTTTGAGGCGTGGAAAGAATTGTTCAAGCTTTTAGAGTCTCAGGTTCAGATGAGTATTTCTCTAGTTTTACTTTTCAGTTCTACTTATTCCAACTCAATGTATATGTACTATATACACACATATATTCTATATCTCTATACTGCTTATTTCTGGATCATACATAGATCATACATATGTTATGAGATCACAGGTATAGGTTTAATGATGAAATCAATCACAGGGTTTATCACTGGATTTACTATAAAAATGATTTTTATGGCAATCAAATTTTTTTACTTCTTTTTCTTGCTCAAACTTGGTTACAATAGCGACTATTCACTGAGACAAGATAATAGATAGTCTTTTATTAAGCGATTTATAATAAAGGAAATACTACTCGAATTACTACCATTAAGGACTTCGAAATTGAAACTTCAAGAGTTTTTTTTTGGTAATCTTCACGCTGCTTATGTGATTTTAATTATATAGTGTCACGGCGGTTCTCAACACTACTATGTACTTCTTTAGTTTTACTAATAGTCTTTACTCACTTGGCTAATCTATTGAAGACCGTGTATCGTACAGGTCCTTCCACCCTCGATATGCACACAGATATCGGTTTATTCACTAAGCTAAAGCTATCCAAAGCTGTTTTTATTATTATTCATTGTTCGCTTTAAATATTACAAGATTTTAATCTGGATATTAATATATCCGGTTACATGCTTTTATTTAAATCCTGCATTATACAAATTCCGATCACGTATGCTATCAATATACCCGATCCTGATCAGATATCAGCACCACAAAATCACGGGGTATCAAATTGAACCACGACAATAGGAATAACTAAAGTACTATTTCTATTATTTCTATTATATTTGTTATACTCGCTATTCGGGTATAAATGCCAAATATCCTTGAAATCTTAGAGATTATGTTTATCTCGGAACTTCAGCAATTACGGGTGGAAAAATTTTCCCTTTCACAATGTATATTGAAGTTTTATTGACATCATATAAGTGTGAAATAACACCAACAATCATTATTTTGAAAATCAGGTTCTTTAAAAATAGCTTACGTGGTCTCGAATTAGTGCCCAGGACATCCTGAATTAACACGAATCCCAATTTGGCATATAATTATCATTCGAGAATAGGGTGTTTTAAGATTGGATTGGCAGTTAAATATTTTAATTATTGGTGCATGAATACTATTCTTTATTACAGTATCTCTTTTTATCATTTATTCATTGATGTCTCGATACTAATAATGTAAGGCTTATTTTCCAATATTTTAGGTGCATCTAGATTACAATTTCTAAATTAACCATGAATTTGGTCCATGATTGTCTTGTAGTCATAAATCACGATTCAAGATAAATTACGATTGATTGATTTATTTAACAACAATGGTGGTAATTGCAATTTTAGTCAATTGTGTTTTCAGTATATAAGGATTCGATTTTTGATAATATATAGGTGCTTTATTTTCATCCTTCTCAATACTATTTCCATTTTGATTGCAAAATTCAAGTTTACATATTCCGCAATGAACCAAATTGTTTATTTCTTCAGCACAACTCGTATCATTTTGCAATTCCACAAGTTTTCATAGTATTCGAATACCTTGTGTTTAATTCTTATTCCAATTAGATAATGTTCACAGCCTTGTGGTTTGTCGTGAGATTTTTTATATATAGCTTTATTGTTGCCACTAATACCTTTCTTTTTCAGTTTCTTCTCTAACCTCAAAACTTTGTTTTGCTTTTATTTTCCCATTAACCGCTATTTCTAATCGAAATCCTTTTCTTAATAATAATGTTCAAGATCATATGTGTCGACAGAATGACCTATTTTGATAGTTAATGAGCGTTTTGTGTTTATCCGTTTTGACATTGAAGTAGTGTCATCCAAAGATTAGATGTTCTTTTTCGATGTCGATTCCATTACGGTAGTAAATTTCAAGGCTTGGTGTTTCTTCTTCTGGATCATCGTAAGTTACTAGTTGGCTCTTTTCTCCGTTTATATAGTCAATAACATTATCTGCATCTCTGGTCTCATTGAAATATATTAACCTTTTTCATTGTATTATACCACTATACTTAAGTTATTAATCGGTGGCTTTTTTGTTTGGATTCTTCTACTATTTGTTTTTTTAATGCTTTCTTCTTTTCTTCATTCTCAATTTGGTTTGTCATTCATTAGGTTTTTCAAAATGGCTCTTTTGATGATTGAATTTTTCAATGAATCTCCATATAAACCGATTCCTAGTGATAAGTGACGCTTTATGTTCATCTTTTTCATCTTTCTTGATTCCAATTCTTATAACAATATTCAAAAATAAATGTTCCATCTTCTTAATTCATATTGGTAAATTTTTAATAATCTATAGATGATTCATATTATCCTTTTTGGCTTTGGCTTCATCGTTACAATCCATCTTTAAATATATTAGGTTCTCTTTCCTGATTCCAATTGAATTATAATAATTGGATCTTTTGGCACCATGTGATTTATATTTGATATCTGTAAAGTATAATTTTTTAATTCGACTTTCACTCTCATTTAATATTCTTTTTGAGACTTTTCTTTGGTCTTTTTGAGTATTCTGGAAGTTGACTAGAGTACTCTTGACATAGTGATCGGGTTCAAGAACAAGATAGTATACAATTACTATGATTAATTGAAGTGATCTTTATAGAAATTTGCCGAAGATTTAAATTGTGAAACATGGATATTAAAATATGAATAAGTATTTTTTTTATTATCATGATAATGAACTTACTTGATCGGCTAAACTAAACTATTTTCAATTAATCAAAAATTGAGCATCGTGTTTTTATTGCATGTATTTACTAAATATACTAGTTGCGCAAGTACTATGATTAATTGAAGTGATCTTTACGGAAATTTACTAAATATACTAGTTGCGCAAGTACTACGAAATCTTTACGGAAATTTGCCGAAGATTTAAATTGTGAAACATGGATATTAAAATATGAATAAGTATTTTTTTTATCATCACGATAATAAACTTACTTAATTGGCTGATCTATTTTCTACTAATCAAAAATTGAGCATTATATTTTTATTGTATGTATTTACTAAATATACTAGTTGTGCAAGATCAAATCAAAATTCAAAAATTCAGCATTATTTGATTTCAGCAAAGTTTTTAAATCTAAAAACATCTTATCTAGAAAATAATTTAAGGATCTTAAGATTTTGCGCATACTAGAATTTCAGACCATTCATATTATTTGTGTTGAACAATTAGGATCCGCTTTTGAATTTCAGGCTGGTTTAGTTTACAGTGATTGTTTTGAAAAACATGATGGTACAAAAAATTGGTCTTGTTCGCCAGTATCTTTATATGTTGAAAAGATTGTTATTATTATGGAATATATGTTGAAAAGGATTATTATGAAGTATTTACTTCAAAATTTTGATAATATGGAAATTTCTTTTGCAATAACTAATCTTTATTTATATGAAAAAGGAATTAGTATTTATTATATATTATTAATTATTTTCTATTCATAATAATTATAAAATTATAATAAAAATAATTTTATTGTATTATAAAATCATAATAAAAATAATTTTATTGTATTATAAAATCATAATAAAAATATTTTAAAGTATTGTAAAATTATTTTAAAATTATAATAAAAACGTTTCAATTACAAATAAAAAATTAAATAATTTTAAAAATGTTTAAAAGATGTTATTAAAACATTTTAAAAATCTTTAAATAATAATTTAAAAATAATTTTAAATTATTTTAATTATAGTTTTATTATTAAATTATCACTAGTTTTTCAAAATATAATTAAGATATACTGAATATATAATAATTTTATTGTAGAAATATTTTTAAAATTTTTATAGTTTCAGTATAGGTTATTTTTTTATTGGTTTTGTTTTTTAGTTTGTTGTTATTATTAATGCTTTTTTTTCTAATTTGTTAAAAGTATTTATAAACTTCTTGAAATATATAGTTTCTTTTTTCTAGTTAGAGCCATGTTATTAATCATCTGATTATTTTTTATCAGAGGCCTACTCTTTCTCCCTCTCTCTTAATATACAAATAGTCAGATTCTTTATATATAATTTTAACTTTTTTATTTTTCTTTTTTTTTGAAAAATTACCTGATTTTGTTACTCTCTTTAATAAACATATTTTGGAAGTATAACAGTTTTGAGCTTTTTTGGTTATCCAAATATATTATTTTATTTTTTTGTTGTTTTTTACTAATATTTTTTTTTTTTTTTGTCTATAATAGTATAATTTTTTCATTTTTGTTAATAGGTATATTTGTAAAGTATGTCTTCTGTTTTGGCATATAGATATTTTTTTTTCAAATCATTTGGTTTATTTTTATCTTTTTTCAGCAGTTTTGCCAATACTGTTTATTAGATTTATGTTTAAATATTTTTGGTTACAAATATTACAAGTATACTTACAACTATATAAAGTATATTATAGTATCAGCTCACCTAGTTATTAATTTAAGTATTTATGTATGATCTGCTATATAAGATTTTATTTTCTTATTAACTGTAACTGTAATAGCCTGGTTTTAAACTCACTGAATAGTTCCCAAACCTATTATATTATATATATTCTACTTATATACTACTGTATAATATTTACTAACTAACTTCTATCCCTTAGAGGAGGGCCATTTATTAGCTGATATTTTGCTACTAAGTGGCTACCCCCCTCCCTACCTATACTTGCTAGCAAAACCCGAACAAATCCCAAATTCAAAAAAAACAATTGCTATTTGTAAATAATTAAATCAAAAAAGTAGTCTTAATATTTTGTAAATATATTATTTATAGCAATAAAAATATCTACTATTTGTTTAAACAAAAATTATTAATAAAGTTTTTGAGAAATTAATTTGGGATGAATTTGGGATTTGGGCGCGGACAAATCCCAAATATAGTAATTTGGGATTTTGCCAACATGTATATCCCTACCTAATTACAAATACTGCAATTTAATTGGTTAAAATTTTTTAAATTTAAAAAAATTTTAAACTTTAATATTAAATAAAATTTGAACCAATGATCCGTTTTGGATGATTTTACTACCAAAATGTTCGTCTTAATGAGACGATTCCAACAAGCCTAAAATCATCAAAATTCAATCACTGGATCCCAAGATCGTTATAAATTTGTATTGCTTTAATTATATTGGTTTTGTATATGATATAAAGATCTTATAAACTTTAACATTGAATAACTTGTGAACCAGTGATCTGTTTTAGATGATTTTATTACCAAAATGCTCGTCTCAGTGAGATGATTCTAATGAATCTAAAATCGTTAAATTCTGATCACGGGATCTCAAGATCGTTATAGATTTGTGTTATTTTAATATAAAATATATTAAATCAATTAAAAATAACACAAATCTATAACGATCTTGAGATCCCGTAATCAGAATTTAACAATTTTAGATTTATTAGAATAGTCTCACTGAGACGAGCATTTTGGTGGTAAAATCATCTAAAACAGATCACTGGTTCACAAGTTATTCAATGTTAAAGTTTATAAGATCTTTAATAATAATTTTTAATATATACAAAACTAATATAATTAAAGCAATACAAATTTATAATGATCTTGGAATCTAATGATTAGATTTTAATGATTTTAGACTCATTAGAATAATCTCATTGAGATGAACATTTTGGTAGTAAAATCATCCAAAACAGATCATTGGTTCAAATTTTATTTAATATTAAAGTTTAAATTTTTAAAAAATTTTTAAAAAATTTTAGCCAATCAAATTGTAGTATTTATGATCAGGTGGGGGAGGGGGTAGCCACTTAGTAGCAAAATATCAGCTGATAAATGGCCCTCTCCTTATTTCATATAATAACACTCCTGGTTTACATACTGAACATCTTTTTAGAGAAGTCCCGTAAAAACAAAATGTTGACTTCTAGACAAATTGCTATATAGACCACAACTCTCCAACAAAAATTGTGGTTTTCTTTAATAAAAAATTTTGGTACGGGTGATTGTTGAGAAGAGTTATATGTCAATTTTTGTAATATTATTAGATTTTTAAATTTTTTTATAATATTAAATTTTATTATAACTATTATTGTCAATTTTATCAATTTTATTATCATCAGTTTTGTTCAATTTTTGAATTTTTTTTTAAAAAAAGTAATAAGCAGCAAGTTGTTTTTTGTAGAACTGAATAGTGATGGGAAAATGCACATTTTTTAATAACATGTATATGAATAACTCTAGCCACTACACCAAAGCAAAGTTTTAATCTGGTTAGTGTTTATTTAGATAATTATCAGATATTCAGATCTGAATTTATTCAGATATATATTTACTATCCATTTACTATTGATATCTGAATAGTTATTTGAATATCTATTAGATTATCTGGATATCAATAGCAAACAGATATTTGAATAAATCAGATATTAATAAACAGATAATAGATTTATTCAAATTGAAACTCTAAACCAAAGCTAATTATAGTAGATTATTAATTTTAATTGGCTAAAGAATTACTTAGAATTTTACTAATAAAATTGCAGCTATCTATTAAGTGAAAATTGTTTCTCGGCTAGTTTTATCATAGTGTGGAATTATTTTTTAAAAATTTATATTTTTGTAATAAAAAATTAAAAAGTTAATTCTGGCCGAAAATTAGTAAACAATTTTGTAATACACTGTTATTAACCAATCAAAATTGAGGATCTGCTGTGACAATTTTGTTAGTCTTACAAAATTTACTATCTTTCTATGTATATAAAGCTTTATAACTAAATCGGGTGTAGAATAGAAATGTTGTAAATATATTTAATTCTAATTATATTAAATTTTGTTCAGATTATTTTCAAAAATAAATATTTTTTATAATAAAAACCTATATAAAACTCTTTAAATTCCTGAATATTTCCTATTTCTTAGCTATAATTTTTTTTTGAATAAAATTGCAAAAATATATAAAAGATACAAAAGTGGCTGTAATATGGGATCTTTGCTAGGATTTTTTTATTAAAAATAGATTTATTATGATTTTTCTAATTAAAATATTGTAAGAGATGTGATGACTTAGTATAGTTGATTAGTTGTTACTCTCCCAAGTGGCAGGTCTAGAGTTTGAATCCCATAAACGATGATTTTGAAAAATGGATCTGCATTTCGGTTAACGGTTGTTGATTATCGGTTGGATCTTAATCTGTAATCTCAGTTACACCATCTAGTAATGGAAGCTTTGGTGCAATAAATTTGAGAAACCAGAATAACTGAAAACCCATTTGGCAAGTCCCGAGTTGGGATGTAGCAATGATCTTTAATGGTACCACAGGAGGGCTAAATTCGAACCGGGGCCCAAAATCAAAGAATCGAGTAATTAGGTCCTATGGCAGAGAACACACCAGCTGAACTGCCAGGTTGTCACACTGGAGGAAAAGGGCATATGCTCCGAAAGTATGGACCAAGAGGAGGGTGTCCTTTAGGCACCTAAAGTCTGGGCAGACTTACCCGTCCAGGTTGCCAGCTAGAAGTAAAGGAGGGACCGATAGAGAATCCGAATAAGGAGACCAGTTCCAAATTCGGGTACCAGGATTGTTGTGAACCTTACAAGGGCAAAAAGTACGTAATGGGTAACTAATTAGGAAGGTTGTAGCTTGAGATACAGATCAGGTTATGGCAGCACCCAAAGGTTGGCTTGAGATACAAACAGTAGCACAACAGGTACTAGTTAGATAAGAAGTTACTGAAAATATAAGTAAAAACATGTGTGAGACATAGACTACTCTGTTAGATTTATCTTGTGGATAGATTGGCCATATATAGTTAATTAGTCTTAAAATAGGAATTGATAAATCCAAAATGGTTAGTAAGTTCTAAAATAGGGTGCAAAATCTATAGGTGTCACAAAAGCTACTATCGAATAGTAAGTTATACCTTGGTTAGGTGGAATGTAACTAGCAGTTGTAATCAGAGAGTTTAAATGGATACTCCTCTAGTTGGGGTATAGGTACAGCAGATAGTGTAGAACCTTCAGGCGGACTACTTAAATAGGTACTCAAAAGGTGCATGTATGGCTTGATATACCTTCGTTATAATTGTAAAATGTTATATATCCACTTAATAAAAAGTTCCTAGGCCATAGAGGTCACCTTAACACCAAAAAAAAAAAAAAAAAAAAATTGTATAATAATGGCTCAAAGTGTTATTTTGCTAGCAAAGCTCTTATATAAAGTCTAATTTAGATTTAATAGTAAACTTGGGATACTATAAATATATTTTATTAAAACTTAAATACATAAGATAAGGTCACAAATTTCTCAGATCAGAATTGGGATTATGGGCACTATATAATCTGTTTAAGAGTTGGTCTAAGAGATGGTGCTAATAATATAATTAATTTAAAGATATGCAATTTAGGTAATAGTAATAGAATTTAGATTAACAATAATAATATTTAGAGAAAACAATAATAATAGAATGCTAAAGTATTGTTAAATAAGAATATTTTAAGTTTAAGATAAAGGTTTTATTAGTAATTGACTAAACACAAAAACATCCACAAAACTATATTTAATAAATTGAGAATTCAATACTTATTTCCAATTTATTAAAGATATCAAAATCTAAAGAAATATTATTAGAGCTTTTAAATACATATTAATCTTTTATAAACTACTGCACTATATTCTTCCACAACTCCCCAATGCTGCTTCATAGTGTTGTAAGCTAGCTGCACAAGTTTCATGACCAACAATTATTGTTGCTATGCCAACGATTATTGTTGTGATGCCAACAATTATTGTTGCTATGCCAACAATAATTGTTGCTATGCCAACAATAGTTGCTGCTATGCCAACAACCAGGGTTAACAATAACCAGTTTCTTTCCATCATGAATTATATCTTCTGAGGTCTATCATACAAACTTAAATAAAACAAACAAACAAGAAATAATAGAAATAATAATAATATTAATTAAGGAGTAAATCGCAGATAAAGAGTATAAAATAATTAACATTTCATAATAGATTACAGCAAGCATTAGATAGTTAAAATTATTAATAGCACAAATGGTGAATATTTGTCTTATTGCAAATGGCAAGAACAAAAAAAAATATACAGTGCAACTGGTAAATATATATAAATAGTTCTAGCTACCAGTGTACAATAATTTTTTTTAAATAAAAACCAAAAATAAGCCAAATGTAAGTACTAGTTAATTTGTGTTCATTTTTTCTTTTTTTTTCTAAATAAAAACTAAATTTTTTTTTTTTGTAGGCTTTTGCTTAATTAAAGAGGTCGAAATGCAAATTGGACACTTGAAAGAGAATTGGACGCTTGGAAGATTTAGATCTAAGATGATCTGCATAATAAACTATGAAACTGGAACAAATAATAAATACCAGTTTCTACTTTTATATTCTCTGTTTGAGTTACTTTTTCAATACAAGGACTAAGATTTTTTTTTCTTTACAGATTTTTCTTCGTAGGAATGGTTAGAATATAATACATGGGTATTTGGAGATTTTGATTTGTGCAATCTGGAAGAGAAACCACAAACTGGATAAATGATAAGCACTAGTTTTTTTTTTTTCTTCTGAGTTCTTTTTTTTTCTTTTTAGAAATAAAAACTAACAATTTTTTCTTTTTTTTAAGCATTTGCTTTGTTAGAATAGTTAAAATATGAAATGAGCACCTGAAGATCTAGATCCAAGTAATCTGAGCAAGAAATCGTAAAATCGCGATAAACTGTAAGTACTGGTCTTTGTCCCTTAATCTAGGTTTGATCTCTTTTTTTCAAAGTAAGAATTTATAATTTCTTTTTTTTATAGGTCTTCATTTCATGAGAACGTGAATTAGGAACTAGAAATGGTTGATTCAATTTTCTTTGGTATTTTCTTAGTAATTAATATTTTTCCTTGTAGGTTTTGCAAGAACACAAGCTTGACAATAGCAATTCGAATCATGGTAGGAATTGATCTTAAAAAGCTTTCTTTTTTTTTTATTGACTAATTAGCTCTTCTCCTGTAGATCTTTGTTAATATATGGATTGGGAATAAACTTAGAGTTAAGTGATATAAGTATTCTCTTTTCATTTTAGTTCATTGGTCAGTAATGTTAATATAATTACTAATATTTTCTCTTATAAGATAGAATCTTCATAGAATAATGGGCTAGAGACCAGATATTAGTTGTTCTGTTTTTTTTTTTTTTACTGTTTTTTTTAGATCTTTTCAATATAGGTGGTAATAGAAGGATAGAAGTTCTTAAAACAATAAGAGTTTCGAAACAGTAGTATTTTCTTTACTGTGAATTTTGAACTTTATGAATACATGAGCATGATTATAAAAGAATTAAGAATAGGCTAACAAAAAACTTATAATAGTATAAATCTGTAAAATATTACTGGGAGTTTTTTTTTGTTTTGTTTTGTTTTGATAAATAATTTTGAAATAGTGAATATAAATAATTATATAGCAATGTAATAAAAATAAATTTATTTATATTATAGTATCAAGTAGTACGAATTGTATTTTATTTATTTTTTCTTTATTAATTACATGATTTATTATTGATATATAACATTCTCAACCGATACAGCAACTATATCACCTATATATTAAACACAACCATTAGATCATAATGACCACATTATGATTTCACTATATCAAGCTAAAAAAAAATAAAAAATAAAAATAAAGTATTAATTCCTACTTCAAAATTCGGATCTCGATCTATCGATAATTTTTGATACAAGATAACTATCAAACAAAATTCCGTCAAATGCTCTTTGTCCAGTCAAAATCTCAGTCATAATAACTCCAAAACTGAAAATATATGATGCTTAAATATATGGTTGGTTCCTCAAAATCTCAAATACTATATATGACAAACACAATTTTTTCTTCACATTTTTAGAAAGTCCAAGATTGGCGATATACGTGTTATGAAAAGAAGAGTTAAAGAAATGTTTTACTATGTAAATCTCTAAACACTTTTGTGAATGAATCAATTTGAGATCAAACACTATATAGTGCAGAAGACTCAATTTCAATACATTCAAAGAATAAAGGATTCTTGTAACTGATTTCACAGTAGTTTTTAATTCCTGGATAAATTTTTAAGCAAAGACCTATAAAAGAAGAAATTGTTGAATTTCTACTTCAAAAAAAGAAAAAAAAAATAAATCGAGCCTACAACAGTAGAATAGAAACTGGCATTTATCATTTATTCCAGTTTCATATTTTTACCCAAGTTGCCCAGATCCGAATTCAGGTGCACATTTTTGTTTTCCAACTATTTTACAAAGCAAAAGCTTATAAGAGAAGTTTATGTCAGAAATAAAAAACCAGAATAAAGAATAAAAATTTATACTATCGACCAGTTTAAACCAAAAACCTAGAAAGAAAAAAAGTATAAGTTGGAACATGAGAAAAAAGAACTCAAGGCTTAATAACATTGCCTACCTGACTATTACATTCTGGATTTATAAAACTATCAACTGTTGTTATTGCAATATAAATATCTGTATAGTATAGGTAATCTGATACAATAATGTTCTTATTATCGATGACCTAATTTAAAAAGACAGAAATTTAGAAAAAGGCACTGCCCAAAGGTTATAATTAAACACATCTTTGTATTAATAAAACATTATATATAAACTTTGTTCTTGCATACCTTGTCAAAGCAAATAAAAAAAGGTGTGTTTTTAAACGATTTAAGATCGAAATTAGCAATGTGCCTGAAATATTTTAGCCTGAATGTGCGTTCCTTACTGAATAAAGTTGTTAGTCTGAATGTTAAAGAAAAGATTTTATTTAAGTAGTCAATCTTATAGATAATATTCTACTAAATTTAAAAATCAAAACTTATTTTTTTGAAGAATATAGTATAGCTCACTATAAGGTTAAAATAACGGTTTAATCATTTGCTATAATTGATCGCTGCTATACAACCATATGAAATTTATACCCTTGATCTGCAATCTACCCCTTAATTAATTAAAGTCCACTAAGCCCCGACTTATAAGTTATGAAAAACTAAAGAATTTATGATATTTTCAAATTTCTAGAGTTTTTAAGACCTGCTCTAATCAGATTTTGAATTTTTACTAAGCAGAATTTCCACATTCTTGATTTCCCACATGGGTATATGGAAATTATTTTCTATACCTTTTTGAAAAAGCTGTACAGTATAATCTAAAAATTAGAAACATTTAGGAAATTTAGAAATATTTAGAAATCTAAAAGGTTTTATATGAAAAATAATCATTCTTAAAAATTATAAACTGATCAAAATCTGAATATAATTTTTAATTTTTTATAGTGAGTGGTGTAGTATAGTGTTGGTAGGACTCCAGACATCTAGAATATAGGTTATATATGAACTTTTTAGCAAAACCCCCATAAATTCAGAGAATAAAAAATTACATATTTGTAAATATCTCAGCAATTAGCAGTCCAATTTGGATGAATATTTTTTTTAATGAATGCCCTTAGTGAGGTGCTTCTTTTAAAAAAAATTTATTCAATTCTAATCACTGGATCTAGAGATATTTAAGAAAAATCAAAATTCTAATTTTTAGCAAATTAGGCTAAACTGGCCAAAATCCAAATATAACCTATATTAGAGATGTCTGAGGTCCTGTGTTGGTAGTAGAATTACTGAATTACAACATTACAGCATTCCACTATATTGTAGAATTAATTACAGCACAGAGCTCAATTGCTATAAATATTATGTGCTATAATACTATAATACTGCAATGCCATAATGCATAATGTTATAATGTCATAATGCTGTAATACTGTAATATTATAATACTATAGCAGATATTGTAATAATGTGATACCATAATACTATAGCATTATAATAATTATAATAATTATAATAATATAGCTATATAATGCAATCATGCCAAACCAGAAATAATTGAATATTAGACACTAAAACCAAGAACTTAATTAGTGATCTTTATATACATCATTATAATTATAATAACTTTAGGCACTGGATTTGAGTTTTAAAAGGTTACTAAATTATTATTATTATTAATTCAAAAGGTCCCATCACTAGGCGTGGGTGCAAATATTCATAACAATAAGTAGTTATATTTTATTAACTATCCATTAATGTTACATGACTGATTTTACACATGGTGTGATACAATACTTGATTAGTCAAATAGTACATGTTATGATTATAATCCAATACCTTTTTTTATTATAAAAAAATGATGTTGGATTATAATCATAACATGTACTAGCTGACTGATCAAATCTGATCAAGTATTGTATCACACCATGTGTAAAATCAGTCAAGTAACATCAACAGTTCCTCCTGTTTATTCTCCTATTACTTATTTTAATGACATTTTTGCCAAGATAATTTTGTGAATAATTTGAGATTTACTATAATGTGTATAATTATATAACTAATACATGTATTTTAAACATAAAATATTTAAATTACATTATACCTTAATTTTGCATTAATCTAGTTCGAGTAGGTATATTAGATATATTAGATATTATTTTAAGTAACTTCAAGAGAAAATGAAACTTCAATCATATAAATTCTGAATAATTGAAGTCACATTTCTCTTGGCGTCATAATTTATTACTGTATTAATTAGTATGCTTTAAGAAAGTGCAGAGTAATATAAAGAATGTTCATAGTCAGTTATTTAAAACACCCTCCTAATTAAAAAGCAATTGTAAACATAAAACATAGTATCAATGCTTAAGTTGGAAAGCGTTTTATATTAAAAATTATCAAATTTTATTGATAGAATACTTGGAGTTCTTTCTGCTTGGTTTGTACTTTCAAGTTCTCCAACTTCAACAATTGGTCTTTTTGTTCTTCCCATTTTACAAGATCTTAAAATA